TGAATTGGAAGGACTTGGCTTTCAAAGGCTTACTCTTAAGACTCTGCTCCCAGGCCAGTACTCTGTATGGAACTAAATTATCCCGTGGAAATAAATCCACAGGATAAAAATAGCATTTGAATCTATCCTAATTAAACGTGTTCCGTTCAAAGTCAACCATATCAGTTATAGCCTGAACGTGGGATTCAGCTTGAAATTAAAATCAGTTCTCAGAATTGAGCCCCAGATACCTAGAATTGAAATAAAACTTCTCAAGATGTAGGCTGATACTGCTTCACCAGAGACTACCAGGTTATGTAGTGTCTATGCTCCATGTTTCAATACAAATGAAACAAGCAATCTGAAAGGTGGTAATATCCAATATCAGAAAGCAAGCTTGCTGCCTCACATCATTGTAGGGTGTTGTCTAAAGTAAAGCCTTTGAATATCAAGAAAACCTGAGTTTAGACATTACTGCTTTTCCTCACTCTGACTCATTTTCATGAATTAAAGCTGTCCTGTCCCCAAAATGTCATCCCTGAATGGTGCAAATAGTTTAGTGCTTCACTGCTAACCAAGAGGTTGGTGGTTCGAGTCCACCCTGAGGTGCCTCTGAAGAAAGGCTTGGTGATCTACTTCTGAAAAATCAGCAATTGAAAACCCTACAGAGCACAGTTCTACTCTAACACACATGAGGTCACCATGAGTCAGAAATGACTTGACAGCAAATGTTTCTTCCTTTTTTTCAATTCCCAAAAGAGGAATAAGAAGCTTGACTCTTTAGTGCTACTCTACATCTTCAAGTCTCTCCTGAGGAGACAGTGTAGTTCAGTGGCTAAAAACATAGCTTGAATTCTGGCTTCACTATCAGTTAGTAGTCTGGTTATTAAGCCTTTCTAAGGCTCAGTGACTCACCTAAACAGCAAGAATAATATTATTGTTATATAATAATATTTTTAGGAGAATTAAAGGAGAAAGGCAGAGAAAGTTCTGGGCCTGTAGCATGTGCTCAGTTTAGCTCTTGTTGTTGCTGTTAATATTTTTATTGTGATTTCCAACAGCAGTCCCTATTCAGCAGTGAAGTCATTGATCTTAAAAACTAAATGTAGGGAAGACTCTCTTAGGGTAAGCAGAACAGAGGTGGATGGATAAGCCAGGGAGAGGAGAGCATAGGGGGAGCCCACTGCCCAGAATCTGATACCACCACCAGGAAGGACATCAAGAGATTGCACCATCCACAAATCATGTGCCAGGAAAATGTTGTGATAGGAAAAATCCCTTGATAGAGCTACCAGGAGAACACCATAACCTGGTAGAGAAAGCTCAAAACCACAGGTCATCTAAGGTATCCTGTGGCAACTCCACAGTTACTAATGAATGGAAGCTCCTGATTACCTCCCAGCAGCTGACTCCCATCGCTGGTTACCCACGCCTGGTTCCTGGCTCTGTACCTCCCTCCCTACCTCACAGTGTCCTTGGTCTATGATAAAAGTGCTATACCTAGTTGAAGTTTTAGGGTTCTGCGCTGAGAATTAACTGGAAGAAATTTCTGAATACTGCCTGTTATTCCTCCTTTGCTTTCCCACTTCTTTCTGGCATTGTCTACTAGTCCTGCTGCATTCTTACTATTCTCACTCTTCTCTTCCTATTCCAAATCCCATGGTATTTAAGAATAGTCGCTCTTTTAAAGGCTCTCTTATATTTTAATAATGATGACAATATTGTCATGAGCTCACAAAAGGTACAGCATTTAGTAAGGCTAATAAATAGCAAATTTCAATCATGAAATTCTTTATTTTGGCATTCATCAATATATAAAAGAGAATTTTTCTCAAAGGAAAGCAACAATTGTATCTCAAGAGAAAAAAAAAAGAGTATATGTGGCAGCTAAATTATAGTGCAATTTAAAGAGTAGGAGGATATTGGCAACAAGAAAAAAAGAAGGAAACTTTAAGAACAAAATGGTTAATAGTCCATCATTCACTGTTACATTTCCCCCTTACCCAACCTTCTCTCTGATGAATGTTTCATCTGGTACCTGCTGAATCCTGAGATCTAACAACATCCACCAGACTTGGAGCGTATTTGAAGTATAGTATATCACGATCAAAAGATCATGTGCCATTAAATGGAGTCAAGTGATATTTGGGGGGTTACATATGACAAATATCCTCAAGCAGGACACTGCTCTTTGACAGTTCTCTTAGATCCTTTACTGGTGAACTGCTCCCCATCCAACCTTGATTCTTGTTTATTACAACTTAGAGCAATGGTAGGGGACAGTGGTGATTCAATGGTACAGTTCTCACTTTCCATGCAGGAGACCCAGGTTTCATTCCCAGCCAATGCACCTCATGCACAGCCACCACCTGTCTGTCAGTGGAGGCTTGTGTGTTGCTATGATGCTGAACACGGTTTCAGTGAAACTTCCAAATTAAGTCAGACTAAAAAGAAAGACCTGATGATCTACTTCCAAAAATCAGCCAGTGAAAACCCTATGTATCACAATGGTCCAGTCCATAACTGATCACAGGAATGGTACAAGACTCAGCAGTATTTGGTTTCATTTTCCATGGGGTCACCATGAGTTGGGGGCTAACTAACAACAACAGAACAATGGTTACCCATACTCTTCTGTTTAGGTATGGATTCTTAAAACTAAATGGATCCATGATTAACTGATTCACTTCAAATGTTGAAACAGAGAAATAAAACGACGTGTTCAGCACCGTGCTGGACTTAGCATGTAACCACGGCTTCAGCATAAACTCATGAACTGTCCCTTTGAGCCTCTCAGGCTAATTCGACTAATATCAAATTAAGCTTTAGTTTGAAAAGACAGTGTTCACTGCTATACTTTTCATTTAGTCTAATTGAACACTTAGAACCTTTGAGGATTTAATACCAAAAGTTTTAAATTGATTATCATGAGGAATGGAAGGATGGATCAAGCAATGAGAGGGAGCAGATGAATTATGATTGGGGTGGGGGCAGGTGTCCAGCAACCAAAACTCACCTATAGATGATTCCTTTCTCGTGTAAGAACATAAGCGCTGAAATGATTTCTGCAGCATAGAAACGAGCTCGAGCTTCATCAAAGCGACGAGACTTCTGAATGTGGAACATCAGGTCGCCCCCATTCACAAACTCCATTACAAAAAACAGACGATCCTGGATACAAACACAAGAGAGAATCCAATGTGGCATAGCATCAACCTAGAGTTCAGCTGGCATTGTATCACCTTGGGATGAGGAGACTGCCAAGTGGAGGTACTCCATGAAACACGCTGACAGACAATCAGAGTGCAGCATGATCGGTCCTGGTGGGAACAGATCCCTTAGGGGAGGGTGACACCTGGATTTCCTTTAGGTAATTCAACATGTCCTTGAATTTCTACATTAAATAAAAAGTACAGAAGGCACTGGAATTCTTCGGTTCTAGTTCTAGCTCTGCACCTTAAAGGTCATGCAAATTTGAGCTTCCTGGGTGGTCGAAATGGTTAACATGCTTGGTTGCTAAAAGCTAGAGGTTCGAGTCCACCAGAAGTGCCTTGGAAGAAAGGCCTGGTGATCTACTTTCGAAAAACCAGCCATTGAAAACCCTATGAAGCACAGTTCTACTCTGACACACATGGGGTCATCATGAGTCAGAGTCAACTTGAGGACAATTTAACCTTGAGCTTAACTTTGGATGTTCATCATCAGTGAAGTAGAAATGACGATGCTATCCCTACCCAAATTCTGAAGCCACTGGATGAAAAACAGACAAGAAATTGTACATGAAGGTGTTTCACAACCTATAAGAGAGTAACACAAATGGGAAGGTAAATGTCTTTCACCTGGAACATGCTGGCTTAATCACAGAAAGTAAAGGGTGTCTAACAGGTGCTTTAACCCTCACAAGAGGGAAGAGAAGAAACACAGAAAAAGGAAAACCCTTTAGACAAAGGAGCCAAAAAGAAGTCTAATGATAGCTTCAGAGTAGCCTCAACAGTAGAAACTCCGTCCAGTCCACCAAAAGATTCCTGAGCCCACCAGTCAGGAGTGGGAACTGAGAGGAGAAAGATGTGGTCTCAACCTAGCAGGTGAACTGGACTCTTCAAAAAAGTCATCTTCACAGTGTGGTAAGACCTAAGAAAGTGGTATGAATAAAGTGCTGTGGAAATTAAGGCTGCTTACTGAAGGGAATGCATTAAAAAGTGATTTTGTTGAGATTTACAGGGTAAAACACCTTGTTTTAGGAACCTCTAAGATCAGTGGATTTCCTCACTCCATCTCACAAACATTTATGAAGTCTCTAGATATCCAGGTGCTGGGGACCCAACAGACAGAAAACAGACACAGACTCTACCCACAGGAGTCTTGTGTGGGAAACATATTATTAAAAATAAATAAAGCGAAATAAACAAGCACATTTACAAATGCTGGTAAATCCTATGAAGGGAAAGTACAGGAAGCGATGACATCTGGCTACCTGCTGCCAGGGGACCTGGGGAGGCCTCTCTGAGTAAGTGACACATGAGCTGAGGTCTGCAGCATGAGTGCAATCCATTCAGGGCCACTGATTATCCTTTGTTTCTTTTTCTTTTTTTGCAGGGTGGTGGGGGGGAGGTATTTTGTGAGGAAACTGGTATTTTACCAAAGCTGTGCATACATAAAAAAAATCTTTATTTGTGGTTTTAAATGCCACTAACTTTGCTGGGATATTGCCACACAGTCACAGCTGAACGACAGACAGTGGACAGTGATTGCATCACTAGTTTCATGGAGCAGATCCCTACAGAAGACAGTAAAACATATGACCAACTACTCCCTATTGTAAGTAATACGGTAATTAGAAAAAAAAAATCCCATGTATCTACTTAACCTCTTTCTGCTAACGAGAAACAAGAATTTAAGAGCAGAGAGTGAATAACAAGAGTCACACACACACAAAAAACAAAAAAGACCTCTTCATACATTCTGATGACATTGGTCAATATAAGCCAATGGAGAAACCATATATATATACATACGTACATACATACATACATATGCACACCCACTGCCATCGAGTCGATTCTGACTCACAGGGATCCCACAGGGTTTCCAAGGCTGTAAATCTCTACAGAAACAGACTGCCACATCTTTCCCGGAGCTGCTGGTGGTTTCGAACCGCTGACCTTTCGGTTGGCAGTTAATCGCTTTAACCGCTGCACCAGCAGGGCTCCTTATATATACATATAAATACATATGTTATGGATAACATTGTGAAGAATGATATTCCAGAACACTTAATCGTCCTCATGAGGAACCTGTACATAGATCAACAGGCAGTCGTTTGAACAGAACAAGGGGATACTGCGTGGTTTAAAGTCAGGAAAGCTGTGCATCAGGGTTGTATCCTTTCACCATACTTATTCTATCTGTATGCTGAGCATATAATCTGTGAAGCTGGACTATAAGAAGAACGTGGCATCAGGATTGGAGGAAGACTCATTAACAACCTGTGATATGCAGATGACACAACCTTGCTTGTTGAAAGTAAAAAGGACTTGAAGCACTTACTGATGAAGATCAAAGGTTTCAGTATGGATTACGCCTCAACATAAAGAAAACAAAAATCCTCACAACTGGACCAATAAGCAATATCATGATAAACGGAGAAAAGACTGAAGTTGTCAAGGATTTCATTTTACTTGGCTCCACAATCAATGCCCATGGAAGCAACAGTCAAGAAATCAAACAATGCATTGCACTGGGCAAATCTGCTGCAAAAGACCTCTTTAACATGTTAAAAAGCAAAGATGTCACATTGAAGACTTAGGTGTGCCTGACCCAAGCCATGGTGTTTTCAGTCGCCTCATATGCATGCAAAAGCTGGGCAATGAATAAGAAAGACAGAAGAAGAACTGATGCCTTTGAATTATGGTGTTGGCAAAGAACACTGAATATATCACGGACTGCCAAAAGAATGAACAAATCTGTCTTGGAAGAAGTACAGCCAGCATGCTCCTTAGAAGCAATGATGGTGAGAGTTTGTCTCACCTACTTTGGACATGGAAGGATCAGTCCCTGGAGAAGGATATCATGCTTGATAAAGTATAAGAGTCAGTGAAAAAGAGAAAGACCCTCAATAAGATGGACTGACACAGTGGCTGCAACTGGGCTCAAGCATAACAATGACTTTGAGGATGGCATAGGACTGGACAGTGTCTCGTTCTGTTGTACATAGGATCACTGAGTCGGAACCAACTCAACGGCACCTAACAACACAACATACACAAACACACACACACGTATATATATATGTATATATATATGTGTATATGTATGTATGTATATCTGTGTGTGTGTGTGTATGCATATATATATGGCAAGTTGTATGCCTAAGCTAACCAGTAAAACAGTTGCCATTGAAAAGTTGACTCCAACTCATGGCGAGCCCAAGTGTGTCAGAGTAGAACTGTGCTCTATAGAGTTTTCAGTGGTTGATTTTTCAGAAGTAGATTGCCAGGCCTTTCTCCCAAGCGAGGTGTTTCTGGGTGGACTCAAACCTCCAACTTCGGGTTAGCAGTCAAGTGCGTTGACCTTGTATACCAGCCAGGGACTCTTAAAAAAAAAAAACAAAACAAAAAACCCAAAACCAAACCTGTTGCCGTCGAGTTGATTCTGACTCATAGGGACCTATAGGACAGAGCAGAACTGCCCCATATGGTTTCCAAGGAGCGGCTGGTGGATTCGAACTGTCGACCTTTGGTTAGCAGCCAAAGCTCTTAACCACCATGTCACCAGGGACTCCTACTGGCCCTCATTTGAGTCTGACTGACCAGGGGAGAGGTAGGATTGGGTGGGATGAGCTTTCATGAGCACCAGCAGCTGGGCATTTTCTACCTGGGAAGGACTCAAGTGGAACAATTAGGTTAGCAATAGGGGGGGGATGGGGTGAGGAGGGGGGAGGATAAGTGCAGGCTGAGGCTGCATCTACACAGGAAGCACGGGGTTTAGCCTGGTGCTGTGCTTAATTGGAGGGGCAGCCATGGGGGTGCCTGATGAAGACTAAGGTGGAAAAGCCCCCCTAAACCATCTCTGGCAAACATGTCAGTCTTCATACATTTTTAACCCAGCCTGTGCACCTTCTTCACGGGTGTGACCAGCAGTAATGTCAGTTCCAATTGCTCCAAATACCTGATTACTGGAACTGGGTCAATAGGTCTAAGTGCTATTCCTTAGGTTTCTGTAGTCAGTGTTCCTGGCAAGAATTTCTAAGGCAACAGGCATCAAGTAGATAAAGGAATTCCAAGGGAAATTTCATTCATTTGTAGTTCACAAAAAAAATGATTTTCATAGCCAGACCCTGGCTAAACTCCAGAACTGGGGGCAGGAAATACTGCCCTGTAGTCTCGCTCCTTCTCCTCTTTCTCATCCCACCTACAGCCCTCAAATAATGCACAGAGCCAGGGACACACACACTTCTGCTGCACAGTAAGGGGATCACAAGCTTCAGAACTTCGGAAATGTGGGATCCGCTGCTACCCGCAATTCTCGCAGCAAGAAGGAAGGGGAACAAGCAGCTGAGATATAATTTGCTCTGTAAACTTTCACCCAATGCACAATAAAAATTTAAAAAATTATTTTCCCATTCGATAGTTTGTACATAAAATGTTCCATAACGTTGGTTTCATTCCCGCAATGTGTCAGCACTCTCTCCATTTCTGTTCTAGGTTCCCCGTTTCCTGTCGCTAATTTTTTTACCCCTTTCTGCCTACTCATCTTTGCTTTTGGGCAAATGTTACCCTTTGATCTCGCATAACTGATTGTTCTAAGAACGTTCCTCTCGGGTGTTATTGTTTAATTTATCAGGCCTGTCTATGGTTTGGCTGGAAGATGGTTTCCAGGAATGGCTTCAGTTCCAGTTCAGAGGTGTGTCTTAGGGCCATAGTCTTGGGGGTTCCTCCAGTCTCTGTCAGACCACCAAGTCTGGTATTTTTTGTGAATTTGATTTTTTGTTCCACAATTTTTTTCTCCCGCTGTGTCTGGGACCCTCTGTTGTGATCCCAGTCAGAGCAGACTACGCTGATGTTTTAATGAAAAGTAATGGTGTATCTTATCAAAGACATAACATAATATCACAATGTAGAAAAATAAAAATATGTTTATCAACTAGCAAAATGTTTTTGCTGTGAGGAAAC